CGATTAGATTTATTCCGCGACGGTATCGAGTTAAAACAAAATGGGTAAGTTACATTCATTTTCATAATAAAAGCAAAGTGTCAGTAATGGATAACATAAGATGTTCCTCTGTATTCCATTAGGCAGCAACAAGGCCCAAGTTTCCAGCCACTGAACTTGCTCTGCACAACTTTGACACAAGCTACAGTATACAATTAAGGGACCTTTGGCCCTCTATTCGCGTTGCAATGCTGTGTGAACAAAAGTATGGAGCACTGATAAACAGCTTCTCTTCAGCACCCAATGTAATAATAGATTTAGAAGCTCGAGGATGTAAAGACTTCATCAGTAGGCCTATTGACTGTTCCAGAAATGAAGTCCATCCATCTTCACAGGACTCCACAACCTCACACAGAGATTCAACCGTGCTGGAACCTGCTGCTTTTCAACCCAGTATAAGTCCCGATATAAAATGTCTTATTTTCCCCCAAGGAGACATATCTAGATTTAAACCAGCTAGGTGAGGGTTACTAAAAATTCTAATTTCCTTTGTCTTGTTCTAAGTTGATTATGTTTGATATATCTGTCCTGTTAACTTAGACCTGACAGCAGTGGCATATTGGGATATTATCTTCTGGATGCTGCCTCAGTGCTGCCTGTACTAGCGCTGGACGTCCAGCCAGGACACACGGTACTGGATCTATGTGCAGCTCCAGGAGGGAAGACTCTTGCTCTCCTGCAGACACATTCAGTCAGTATGTGAACTGCCACATCGCCAACATTTCAAGCGTTTTAATAAAAGAGATGCAGATGATATATGCATGTTTTTTTTTTTCTTTTCAGATTATCTGTGGGCGAACGACCTGTCAGGTTCCCGCACTATGCGATTACGCAGGACTCTTCAGAGCTACCTGACTAAAGAGTTCCTGGATGAAAACAAAATCCACATCACTTCCACTGATGGTCGGCAGTTAGGCATGACAGAGGAGAAAAGCTTTGACAGGGTTAGTATTGGGCAAAATGTGTGGAAAAGAATGGCCTGTTTTGTAACGTTAATGAGAATGCCATGTTATAGTTATACTAAGAAAACAAATTTTAGGATTTGAATTGAACCACAATATGATTTGATAGAATTATTAAATTGCAGTTAACAAAAATGCAGATTAACATTTCTTACATTCCACTTCATCAAAATATAAATCATGTGAGACCTATTTAATTAACAGCTTTAGATGGATATATGTCTTGCAGTGTAGTATTTATTTTCTATTATATTTAATTTTACTTAAAAAAAAAAAAAAAAAAAAAAGAAACATTAGAGTCAGCACTACGACAGTAGCTGTGTCCGAAACCGCTCCCTATCCCCTATTTAGTGCACTATATCGGGTATTGGACATTTTGTAGTGGCGTCCGGATTCTGAGTGAATGTCATTCCCTATATTCGTTCACTCTTTTATACGCACAGTGCACTCTGATTTCAAGTGTACATCTGATGTACACTTGCTGAAGCACTATTTCCCAAAATCCAATGTGGAGAGGACTGACAAGTTGGAAGAGAGATTGGGAGCAAGCGAGTTTGAACAAGAGATGCAGTTTACATCGTTTTAGCATTTTTTTCATGCTGGTTCTAGTTTTTACCTTCTTATTAACAATTTCTTATTAAGAAAATAAAGAGAGACAATATTACTATAGCTGAATTTTAAAAATGAAATCAAATTATATGGATCAGGTAAAATATAGTTTTATAGTATTTATTTATAATATTTATTTAAAAAAAT